GTTGATGAAAAATAAAATATTTTGAACAATCGCTGGTCTTGTATATTCTCATGATTAAGACGGTAATCGACCTGGCACGGCTAGGTTCAAAGTGCAAACCATTTTGCAAATAACTCATCTTCGCTTCAATTAGTACTGAGGCCTTCTTTACGTCATCATTATTTTTCATTATTTAAATTTTACAATTTCGGAACTTGCGTTAGTTTTATATGCACATTCACTCTCAAGTATAATCTATGAGAGTATTTATATTCTCGTACATATGTACAAACGCATTTGACTTTGGTCAAGTGTTTTCCAAAGTTTGTCATGTTGAACCTGAAAATACTTGAAGCATAAAATTAATAGTTTCGAACTAAAGTGAATTTTGGTGCCTAAAGTAATTTTATTTTATCTGTAGTTTTTTACAGCTCACAGTTTACATGTGTAATGAAGATTAGGTAGGTAGATTATATACATATATTTAATTATCGCATTGTAAAGGCTGAAAAGATTTTCGGCCTTGCTCCTAGTCCACCTCTGTGGTATCGTATTTATTTTAATTCAACACAGTTTATTCCGTCGATAGACGTTAGAAATACGCTCCGGGACTTGAAATAGCCTGCCGAAGGCCACAGAAGTTAGAAATATTAAGCTTCTGTTATTTTGGGTTTTGGATTAGAATCTTGACTGGTCTAACGGGATTTCGTAATGCTAACCATTCGGCTACTGCGATAGTTTAATTAGTATATTAACACATATTTAAATTATTTTTTCGTCACATTAACCTTAAAAAACCATCTTGTTATTGTAATCTTGTTGACGAAACTACTTTTTCTTTAAATTGGCCTCGTCGTGCTTTGCGTCTGAGTGGTGACCTTTGTTTCGATGTCACTTGGAAGGAAGTGTGTGGCCAATGAAAGGTAGTAGGATATAAGCCTTTGGGAAATGATAATACCAGCAAAACCGACTTCATTTTTATACGGATAGGTCAAAACAAGATAACCGAGTCGGTGACAGAGTTTACTTAAAGGATCTTGGTATCTGCAAATCATTTCGTTTACCGGTTTACTGTAGTGTTTTTAGGCAGAATTGTTGGCTATATATGAGGCTGTCAATCGTCTCAGCTCAATGGTGCTTTCAGAAAATCGTATTCATATTTTTTCTTTAACAATAAAATCGAAAATCGTAGAGAACAGCCGCAGATCACTCAACGTGATGGCAAAGTAGTTCCCCTTAAACCTAGTATGGGTGTCTGGATAAAGTAAAACACTGGGTAATGAGATTGCGGACGAGCTTGCAAGTAAGAGCTGCCCCTTACCATCATGGAAGAGTTTGGGCAAGCCGCTCTCCACTTGTAAACTCAATATAAGAGAGTTATTCATTATTCATTAAAGATGTTAACTCAAGATGGAGAAATCTCCATGTGTTCAATGTGAGCGGGAGAGTATAGACAGAATCAAACAGAAGAAGGTCACGTGACCTTATCGAGCTAAAAAGATATCTATAGTTATAGGTTTTCTTATAGAGCATATTCTAAAGACTTATGCAGAAGTTTCAGACAAGAAGAAGAACCTAAAACCTAAAAGAACATTCTCTGCGAATGCCCCGCACTTTGGAGGAGTAGGTTGAAAACTCTGGGGCGACAAACACTGGAGTATTGACCAAGATAGCAGGGGCTAAGATGCGGCGACTGCTCAGTTTTGGTATTGAAGATCTTTCTGTGGGTAATTATTATCGTCGTCGTTGTCGATGTCGACGGTAAATGACGCAATATCGGTTGACATTGTATTTGATTACGACTAGTACAAAATTTTGCAAGTATACTTATATTTTTTTAAGACATTCCTAGCATTTTGTGTAATATGGTAAGTTTTTAAGATCTAGCTAATAGCTAACGGTTCGCTAAAGGCTATTGGGTCGCCAGAAAGCGATGGTTGGCAGAAGGTAGTTGTATTATTCCGGCCTGATTATCAGTTATTTAGTTTTTACTTTTCTCACCTAATTAATATTCAGAGTAGATATTATAAAAAGGATTGAATTCTTTTAACTATTGTTATATAACGATGTGGCGGAAAAAGCTGTGGCCGACTTGTAACGCCAACCATAAAGGGTGGAATATACATATTGTATAATACATCATAGTGCACAACAAATAGCCGAACCTTTTTCTAGTCGACTTCGATTCCTAATCTCTGAGTGCACTCAGTATTAGAGTACTGTGGGCAATTCGAACATCCAACGTACTATTGGTGTTCGCAAAGTAGCAAAAACAGTTTGGACGATCAGGATTGCGTACCGCACTGGCATGGAATCAGGCTGTCGTTGCGATCGACTACTACACGTGCAGGGTAGGGTTAATAATGATAATTTGAGAGAAAAACCAGACGCATTTGCAGACAAAAAAAGAAAGAGGGCGAAATGGGTGAATATCAAGAGCTTGATGACTGATTCCCAGATGGACTAAATTTATCGAGGGAACACTTCTTCACCCAGCTAAAAGGCAGTGAAAGTGCACCACCAGGTGATGGCGAGTCCACTGCAAAAAAAAAAAAAAAACAATAGAGGCGGGACCCATGGCCAGGGCCAAGTTATTCAAATACGGCGGTGAAGAACTGATTCAACTTGTATTAGCTTATTTGCAAAATAGGGTCGGATGAAAGCGTGTCCGACGATTGGAACTTAACTATGCTCTGCCCAATCTACAAAATGAGAATCCCGCAGTCTGCGCCAATTACCGTGGTATTAGCCTCCTTAATATCCTATAAAAGATCAAGCGTATTATGTGAATAATTTCAATATAAGACCTGGCAAAGCAACCATAACCATTGCTCAGATATTCATTCGGCACCTCTTCGTCGATTTTCAAACCCGCAAAGCTTACAAGGCTAGGTAAACTGACGCTAAGTAACACTAAATGCTCCGCGCTCCGTGAGTTTTTTAAATTATTGTTGGAGAAAATAATACTGCAGAGCTAAATGGAGAAGGTACAATCTTCCAGAAAAGTGTGCTACGATTATAAAGGCATCATTGGCCTCAACAATTACGCGGTGAGTTCAGTTCTCTCTAGAAGGAATAAGGAAGCGAAGGATATGATCTGGTAGTGAACGAGGGCGAAACGAAATGTCACTATTGACAGTCATAACTTTGAAGTCGTAAATAATTTCGTTTATCTTGGAACCAGAATTAACACCAACAAAAATGTCTACCTTGAAATCCAACGCAAAACCACTGTTTTTAACAGCATTTACCGCACCTACATTGACACAGTTCATCGAATCAGAAAACAGTGTCTACGCTGACTAGATCATGTAGTCCGGATGAGTAAGAATACTCCTTTGGAATTTTTCGATGCAGTCCCCGGCTGTGGAAGCAAAGGAACGGGAAGACCAGGTAGGGGAGAATCTGGCTATACTTGGTGCTTCAAATTGGCGCCAAACTTTGAAAAAAAGAAATGAATGTTGCAATATTGTTAATTCGGCTATAATCTGTAAGCAGTGTCTACGCCAAAAAAAAAGAAAAAGAGTGCAATGAGCTTTAAAAAACACTTCTTTTAATGATAAAAAAATAAATAAAATTGGTAAACATCTTAAAATTGCCCTTGACTACTGATAGACCGAAGGTTAATTTTGGTTTTTATCAGTAAAGTAATCTTCACAAAGACTAATGGATGGCAAAACTCTTTTGCCTCAGCAAAGTTGTTATCATTGCGCCTGCCAACCGGAATGGCATGGTTCGAGTCTTGGTGCGACCAACATCCAAAAATTAAAGAAACTTAATTCAAATAAAAAACTAAGTAAATTTTTCTGACTGCGGTGACTCCTCGGCAGTGTATGTCTATTCCATCCAAATATACTATTTCGACTTGAAATAAAGCTCCTCATAAAAAAAACAGTCGGCCGTTGCGATGTAGCTAAGAAGAAAATGTAGGTTCCTCCATTTGTTGGAAAATCATCAAGACGCGCACCACAAATTAGAGGAACTCACACAACACACCAAATTTTATATGTGTCTGTAAATATATAGAAATATACTCATATGTTTGCTGCGTTGCATTTTACTTGCTCCTCTGAAGAAAGGACAACCTCGTCAGTTCATAAGGGGAAAGTTGTTCAGGGGGTGTTGATTTGAATATGTTGAGCTCGGCGGCAAATCGCTTCAGGGTTACAAATTGCCAATTGTATATACATATATACATATATATATATATATTAGAGCTTAAATCAAAAAGAAGAAGGGGGCATACAAGAAAGTTAACAAGAAGTCCTCAATTTCAGTAAGCAGTTAAACGACGAGTTTTTGGTCTTTTAAAAAAAATAGAATTTTTCATTAAATAATTATTACTTAATGATTTTATTAAGTATAAAACTTACTCGTAAAGAATATGTGTATTGTACATTATATTTATTGTATTGAGTACGCAAGAATGCATGTTTGTAAATAAGTAAATAGAATGAGAACTTTATTTGGGTATCGGGAAATAAAAAAAACTCCATTATTTTTTGAATGTGCATATGTACATACATATGCATGTAGGCATAAAGTTGTCAAAGCGTGTGTGTGTATGTGTATATATATAAAATAAAACGCCAGTCCTCTAACCAATGACAGTACGTGAAATAATTATTGAACCGATAGAGTCCAATATACAATAGATGTACTCGTATATATTGGAACTAGGTATGTTTGTATGATGAATGTGTTATGACAGTAACTTATAATTTCACAGCTGAGGGATTTAATTTCAACAACGAATAATAATAATAGGTAGCTAATACTTGAGTTCAATTATAAACAGTTGAAAAATAAACAAATCTCAATGTATTCGGCAATGCTTGATGGGGGTTTCATCAAGACAATAGGTTTTGATAGACATCTACTTCCATACATACATACATATATCTACATATATACACATTACAAATTTACATACAGTATGCAAAATATGTATGAGGGCAATTGAGATCCACCAGTATAAATAGGCTATGAAACTTCAAATGAGCAGCAAAGCAACTCTCGTAGCCGTCTAGTTCAAATCAAATTGAATTTAATTTTAATTAACATTCATTAAAACAAACATATTAGAAAATGGCAAAATTCATACTTATCGCTGCCCTATGCATTTTGAGTGCTGCCCTCACCAAAGCGGCTTTCAACAAAGAGGAGGCCATTAAAACCTTTATGACCAGAGCTGAGGAATGTCGCGGAGAAGCTGGTGCCGCTGACTGTAAGTGTGGATTTTCATGTAGTAAATACAATATTATTTTATTTTACTTAAAATACTTAATATTCCACAGCCGACATTCAGGACCTGATCACAAAATCTCCTGCCGCCGGCAAGGAGGGCAAATGCATGCGCTCTTGCATTATGAAGAAATATGGTGTGGTGCGTGTGTTCTTCTAATTTCTTTTCAATAACAATCCTACTTTCTCTCAAAGTAAAATATTTATTTCTTATTTTCAGATGGATAGCAATGGAAAATTTGTTAAATCCGTCGCAATGGAGCACACCAAAACATATACAGACGGCGATGCGGATAAATTGAAAATAGCTAATGAAATTATCGATGCCTGTGCCGATATCGCTGTGCCAGACGATCATTGTGAGGCAACGGAATTGTATGGCAAATGTTTTATGGAACAAACTAAGGCTCATGGCATTGATAAATTTGAATTTTAACTAAGCGATTAGAAACATATTGGAAACGAAACCTCTGCAACTTTTTATTCGATCACCGACTTACGTGGGATATACATGTATACATACATACATTAACAGAATGTGGAAAATTTATATATCCATTTGTGTTTATGTTTGCACAGATGCATTTTTAATTTTTGTTTTTGTTATTAAAGCAATTGAATATACTTAATTGTACATACATATGTGTCTATTATTTAGTAAATTAGTTAAAGCTGCTCAGAGGCGTGCTTCATTCAAATTCTCAAGTGGCGATTCTTCAGTTACAATTCATCTTTTTATATATTTATGTTTATACCGTTTGGTTTCTCCTACCGCTATAATTGTCGAATATTGTTAAAAGTTTATATGAAGAAGAAGCAAAAGAGCCAAATTTTCCTTTGATAACCTGAATGAGGAATCAACGTGTTGCTTGCTGGTAAGACTACTCTCTACCACTTCTGGGTAAAGTTCAAGCTGTAACTTCAAACAGTAGAGGAAAGTGTATGAAATAGCATTTGTCTTGTGCTCTGCGAGGTATCGATGTTATCCATATACGAAATCTTAGTATTTTCTCTACCACATTGGACCAAGAATGAAAATAAGAAGGAGTTCAGCGGTATAATTGCCAACCGTCAATGCACTGGTCGGACCTAATAATTATGGCTTTAGACATGGTAGATCCATCATACATTTGCCATGCTGACAATCTGAGAAAAAAACCGTAAGAAAATGATTGGAACTGCTTCCATGCCGATGTGACTTAATTTGGTAACCCGGCAAAACTTGCTATGTAAGCCGTCGCTGAACAATGCCAAAAGCTCTGCCAAAGTAGAATCCTCCATAACCACATCATTAATTCCGCTTTCTCTAAATTGCATAAAGAAACGAAGCGATGTGGACTCTCTTAGTCTCTCCAATCGGCACAAAATAGTGAAAATGAAACGAATAAAGCAATTAAAAACAAATATTGTTTGCTTACTAAAACAAGGAACTTCATATCAGAGCTATGCAATTAATCGCTTTTTCGCTACTCCAAGTCTTCCAAAAAAATGTGTATATGAATAATTCGACATAAGCTGAGCCTCTAAACGGTTACCAACAGTAAAGTTAAACGTAAAAGCATAGCTTACAACTGCAGAATTTTTCCTTCTGGTTATGAAGTATTTGGAGAAGCGGCAATAGCTGTGGTCGTTGAGAAATGCTACTGAAAATTAGTTAGTAACGAAATTGAGAGAGTAAGATGTATTACTCTCCGAAAGAAAGAAATTTACTGAGTTTACACCGAACATCATTCAGTAAAAATTAGAAAGCAAATTGTTTTGCAACTGTTTACAATATTTTGTCGGTTACATTTGAGCCCGTTCAATTACAATTTATTTTGCCTGCTTTTAAGCATTTTCCTAAGCATTTTGATAAAATTGGCAATTATATGGGATTCTTAATTAAATTATTAATTGTATTCAAAATTTATTGTATTTCAACAATGATGAAATTCTACATTTGCTTTAGAGCCGTCCAACGAATAAAACCGCCAATAGTCCTATAAAAGTACGAAGATTTAAGTAAAATTTGCTTGGTAACAATTTGAGGCTTAGATTTTTAGGAAGAATGACTGAACATTACCACAAAAGTTTATTCGACTCTGTTTTCCCTTTTAAAGCCGACTAATATTTCATTTTGTGTGTCGTTGTCGATTCTGGAAGCTTAATAATGCATTATCGTCACTGTGCCCGTTGCAACAACTTTGCTTCGCAATGTTTTTCGGCTAATTTAGTCGACACTGATTTCTAGTAGATTTAAGGAATCTAAAATAAATTTGCATTGTACAGAATATAATAATATATTCCAATATTATGCCTTCAACATTCCTGATTCATAATTCATTAAAGTGGACTTGGTGGTATACGGGCGATAATTCCCTGCCAGTGCCATCACATTTTGATTTAACGAGTACGTTATCCATTTATTTGAATAGTTGATGTCTAAATTTATTTTTAAAAATTTGCATTTGAACACTAATTGTTTTATGGTATCATTCATATGAAAGAATTAATATTAAATATTTTTATTTTAAATAATTTTTGTTTTGTTGACAAAAATTCAATTATATCACCAAAAATCAACTGTTTTCCATACATTCTAGTTTTTGCTGGTTCAAATTTTCTCAGCACGAATTTGCAACATTTAAACTCTCTCTGAGTTTGTGCCTCAACGAACGCGATTCAGTAAAAATTCAGTAAAAATTGTTACTACCCATCTAGTCATCGAACATAACTAATGATTTTGAGCATCAATCGTCAGCCGTAATATACAATACAAACATGGCTAAGTCAGCTAGTACTCAAACCAATACAATTTTCATTGGTCTGACGCTGATTCCCTTTCCCGAAAACAAAGTGGTTCATATATAAAATAAGTCTCTCACAGTCTCCGAACAGCTGAGCAATCCATGCTCCATTGGTTCGAAAGACATCAATACGCATACCACAAATTTGGAGGAGAAAGGTGGCCGAAAATCGCTTCATCGGTTACAAATATTATATTATATATATTATACATAATAGTTCCATGGTAGATCTTAAAAAAAACCCATGACCATGTCAGGTATGACCACCAGCCGTAAATAATAATATTATATTTAGTTTCGAAGCGTTCCTCGTGCTTTAATTTGTATTTCTCTGTCAAAATCTTGGTCTGCTTTGAGCCAATTTGTGACTCTCACTTGAACGGAAACACGAACAGTTGGAAAAATCCAAACTAAGTTAATAGTTATTTACAAAATTTACATAATGAGATAATAAAAGTATATAGAAAATACTTTGGTGCTATTGACATTGATATTTCCCGAGATTAGCATGCAAATTATAGAGAGGGCTAACACACGGTCGCCTTTCGGCAGGGCAGATTAACACCTCTGCATTCATTTCTGCCCTGAATTGGTGCATTTATTAGAAAAACATCCAGACTAACACACAACTCGGAGAGGGATCTGGGTTAAAAATTACTTAAGCGGCTATAAAGCGACCCTCATACATAATTTAATCCAACCGTTCATAGTAATAGCTCTTAATTAGTGAATATTGCATGTGTAGAGCCGAAGGGGTATAAGGTACGACATGTTCGATTTCTTATTTATGATGCAATGCGGTCGCCTAACATTGTTCGTTTAAGCCATCGAAATTTCAAAGATCTACGAAGTACTGTTATACAATTAAATACACGTTTGTGTCTTGCTTGCAGCTTTTTGTGCACGCAAAGCATTAAGCCCCATTGAAAAATGAGTCATTGTATTGCCAAGTCTTTGTAGTATTCACTTATTTCAAAAAATCATGTTTATATCTCGATTTGAAATTTGCCTAAAATTACATGGACTTTCTTCCGTATTTATAGTTATTGTTACTTAAAATTCCATTTTTACGGGGAGTGGACTGATCTATTGTAAAAATGGAATATATTTTTTTTTGTAAATGGACCAAGTTCGATTTGCTCGAAATAAATAATTACTTTCACTGCGGGAAATGGATCAGCGAAAAATTGTTAAAATTAGTATGATTGGGATATGAACATGTCTAGATATTTTCGATTCACAATGTTATTATTCTGCGAATGCAGCTTACAAATGTTTCTAATACATTCAACTTTAGTGTGAATAAGCATAGATTTCAATGATGCTGCTTTTGGCTAACTTTGAGGCATTCATATTCACATTTTCGTGAAAGACTTTGAGCAGCCAAGAAGTCACCTGCACCTTCAAATAAACAGTGCCAGAACCTGGTAGTAACATAGATGGTATTGATACAATGGTTCAAGCAAATTTTAAAATTTGTTTTTGCGATTTCCGAAAGAAATCCAGTTTGTTTTTGCTAAGACCAGTAATTTTGGTCACTTATATGCAAACTATTTCATTCACTAAATACGCAGAACCGCTTCGAACTTCTCGAAAATTACATAGCGTTTACCTCAGCATAGAATGCACGTCGAACGGTTAATATTAGTGCACAAAAATATAATATTATAGTTTAAAATTGCTGAGTGCTTAGTCCTTTGAAGATGGTGAAATAAAACCACATTTATTTTATATCCAATAAAAAATAGAACCTATCTATTGATTTTTGTGTCAAAATCTTCAGTAAATGCAGTTTTTTTACAAATCTAAAAAGGAGAGCTATTTTCAGCCATGATGAAGTACACCTTTTTACCTTTCATGAACATATCAAAATTATGGTATTTCCCTAATTAATCCTCACATTTGAAACCTTTCGATGATTTTCGGTGTCCCTGTTTATTTGTATATACCTGTGTAGAATATCAAATGTATCGCTCCCTTTCGACGCATTTTTGACCGAAGGCCTCATATCTGACTATATAGGGTAGATGTGGTATATGATAGGAGGTAGCCGATGGTTAGCATTGCGTACTGCCATTCGGAAGGTCTGGGCTCACATCATGGTGCGACCAACATCGAAATGTTATAGAAAATTAATTTAAATAAAAAATGAAACTAACTTTTCCAATTGCAGTCGGCCCTCAGCAGGGAATGCCCACCCCTTTCTTGTTTATTTTATGACATAAACTAAAGCTCCTCATAAAAACCATCAGCCGTTCCGAGTCGGCTCAGTAAAAACTGTAGGTCCCTCCATTGGTGGGAAAAACGTCAGGACGCATACCATAAATTAGAGGAGAAGCTTGGCCGAAAATCGCTTCAGCGGTTACAAATCAGCAAATTATATACGTGTATGATCAGATTTCGTTGTTTTATCATACTTCATACCAAAGTTAATATACCACTTCATGTGCATTAAAGATATAAACGCCTCTACTGTAAAATTTACTTATTGCGATTACGGCTAGATATAGTATATTATATTATACGATTATTAACCAAATCTTTGATACAAAAATATGCTTACAAAATTCTGATATTTTTCTGTCAGCTGCTTTTTGATGTATTCATATATACTCGTAATTAAATACTTATGTAAATTATTACGTTTTCTATAATGGAACTTTGACGTGTTAAATTTCAACTCTGAACATCTATATCTATCACTCTTTTATCACACTAAAATGTAATTATCTGGATAAAAATCTTAATTGGCCAACGTGCTAAAGAACCGAATGACTCGTCAGATTTTGAACCTGCGTGCATGTATATAATTCTCACACGCTCTTTCCATTAACCTCTCGCAAAGTGCGAAA